CAGTAACCCAGAGCCACTGAAGCCATGCACGCTCATGCATCACACTGCTCCATGCTTCACAGATGATGTGTGTGCTTTGATCATGAGCTGCTCCAGACTCTTTTCTTCCCGTCGTTCTGGTACAGCTTGATCTTAACTTCAGCCGTCCAAACAATGCTTTTCCAGAAGTGCTCTGGCTTTTTTAGATGTGTACTTGTGCTGAATCCTCTGTGTTTGCTCTGGTGAAGTCTTCTCTTGATTGTTGACAGGTCTGTCTCCTGGAGAGTGTTCTTCTCTGGGCTGGATGTTGTGAAAGGGTTTTTCTTTACCTTTCTCCGATCATCAGCACTGTTGTCCTCCGTGGACGTCCAGGTCTTTTTATGTTTCTGAGCTCACCAATGTGGTCTGTTTTTCTCAGAATGTACCAAACTGTTGGTTTGGCCGCTCCTGATGTTCCTGCGATCTCTCTTTTGTTTCTGAAGCCTAACAATCGTCTGTTTCACTTGCATGGAGAGATCTTTGACCGCACGATGTGCTTCACAGCAACAGCTTCCAAATGCAGATGACACACTTAGAAGCAACTCCAGATCTTTCACCTGCTTAATTGATGTAGATATAACGAAGGAATAGCCCACATCTGTCCACGAAACAGCTTTTGAATCAACTGTTCAATTACTTCTGGTCCCTTGAAAAAGTGGAGAGGTACATATTAAAGAGCTTTAATTCCATTTATGATGAGAATCCCTCAAATTAAAGCTCAGAGTGCACTTTAAGCACATATTCATTATATAACTCTAACTTGAATGTGTTTTGGTCAACAGCTAAAATAATAAAAAATGTGCCTGTGTCCAAATATATATGGACCTAACTGTATATTCAGAATTATAACTATATTTTCACTATTTACATTTATGTATTCAGACTTAAAACTATATATATTCAGATTTGCTTTCAGACAAGAAAACATGTAAAACAGGGAATTATTTCAGATTGTTAAATGCTTAAAATCATTAAATATGAAATATTAATTTTAAAAAATGCATCATTTATATATTTATTGATTTTAGTTCATGATGTTTTAAAAGAACTTTAAAGAATTTTATTTTTAAAGTTTTTTTGTGTTTTTTACATTTTTGCACTTGAAGCTTTTATTAATATATTATTTTTATATAATATATAATTGTTATCAAAAACATAAACCAACATGAATAGATTGTTTTCATGCCCTAGATCTTCATATGCATGCATATATTTAAACTAGATATTTGAAAACAGACGATTTCTTAGAACAGAGAACAAATGCACTCAAAACCCAAAGATTTAAGCAGTATTTTCATTGAGTTCTACATTTGTCATTCATCTTTAGAGGTCTATCTCGAATCCCTGAGGACATCTCCTGACTGTTATTGTAATGCGTCTCATGACGGTGAAGCCATGAGCTGTTCTGTGAGAGAAAATAAACGTTTGTGTTCAAGGACAGAGTGTGATGAGCTGAAAATAGTGTGGAAATACCAGAGTTTGAACCAATGCATTTCCACAGCAGCGTCTCGCATCTGTAGAGTTCTCCATCCGTGTGAGGTCAGAGGAGAGCGGCAGAAAGCACAGGAATCTCAGGCCGCTGTTTTGTAGCGTCCTGATGCGGTTCTGATCGAACGCTTCTTTAGAGATGCACTTCAGGGTCGTGAAGGACAAAGCCAGCGGCCTGCAGTCCATCAGTCAGAAGTGGATGACAAGCTGATGATGAAATCCACGAGGCAGCGGCTCTGATCAAATCCTGCCGTCAGAAACACTTCTGACCTTCAGGGTGTCGATAGGAGCTGCTTTGAATAGATCCTCCACCTCATGAGTGTATGAAAACATCAAGAAATGCTTTTGTGTGTCTTGGCGATGCCTTTGAATATTTAGGAGATTTTGAGTCATGTGCATCAGTTGGTGAATATATAGATATATAGAGATAGATAAATAGATATAGATATGTAAATAAATAAATATATATATATATATATATA